TAATAATAATGCAGGGGGACAGAGCTCTCTGATGCTACTCTGTCCAACGAAGCTATGCATCAGAGAGGGAAGCATCCATTGGCCATGGATGTGTACCTGCAAACACGTCTAATGGTCTAGGCTGGTTTTGCACGTTACAGGACTCAGTTCCTGACGGATCACTATAATGATCCATTCTTGTCTAGTGTGATTCCTATGGTGACTCCGACATGGTGCCATAGGGCCAATTGAGGCAACCCTGTTTAGGGTCAATGTCGACTGAATTGACTTCCGAATTAACACATTTTAATTTGGTAATTCGTTTAAGTAAAGTGAAACAGTTGGCCTTACTGTTCTGCACCATTTCTGTAATGTCCCGCTGGTCCTTTGGTCCCAGGGTTCCTCGCCGAAATGCTTGTCTATCACAGTGAAGCCGTTCGAAACTACCAGAAACCGTGTTTTTACTGCAGCTCTTGCTTTCACAGTGACAGATTAACCAGGACATGATATGAACAACAGGCAGGCACACGACTTTCAGGTGTGGTCTTTTTTCTTTTGATGGTTGTCTGGTGAGGTGAAACATATTGTGCACCTAATTCGTTGGAACTTGAAAGCCGTTTATGCCAATTGGGGCAAGACTTGACCACGGTCCCGGAAAGGGAATAACGCACGACTCTTAGGTTTGTAGGAACTGAGTTCTGTGTTTTAACTAATTGTTTTGGTTCCTTTTGTTTTTCATCAACTAGTTCCCCATTTGGTCCCTAATTCTCCCTGCGTGCCTCTCCGTAATGTGTCGTGGGGGTTTAGGTGTGTGCTCTGTTTTGGTCAGGTCCGTTTCGCCGTGTAGGTTGGTTTTGGAGGTCCGTCTGTTCCCCTCCCCCCCTTGCGCTGTTTTGGCCCTTTGCCCGTCGTTTGTGTCCGCTTTTTTCTTCCTTTTGCCTTTCAGGGTTGACCCGGCTCCGGCCGGGTGTGTGTGTGTGTGTAACATCTGAATAGATGTAAAACTTCTCTCTTTTTTCTTCCTTCCGTCCTCTCCCCTTCTAATAATAATGCAGGGGGACAGAGCTCTCTGATGCTACTCTGTCCAACGAAGCTATGCATCAGAGAGGGAAGCATCCATTGGCCATGGATGTGTACCTGCAAACACGTCTAATGGTCTAGGCTGGTTTTGCACGTTACAGGACTCAGTTCCTGACGGATCACTATAATGATCCATTCTTGTCTAGTGTGTGCGTGTGCCGCATGCATAAATAGAAATAAGATAAGATAAGATAGACAGACAGACAGAGAGAGAGAGATAGACAGACAGACAGGCAGGCGGGCGGGCAGGCAGGCAGGCAGGCAGGCAGACAAACAGCCAGCCAGGCAAGCAGGCAGGCAGGGAGGCAGGGAGGGACGGACATAGGTAGGTAGGTAGGTAGGTAGGTAAGGTAGGTAGGTAAGGTAAGGTAGGTAAGGTAGGTAAGGTAAGGTAAGGTAAGGTAAGGTAGGGTAGGGTAGGGTAGGGTAGGGTAGGGTAGGGTAGGGTAAGGTAGGTAGGTAGGTAGGTACATAGACGGATAGATAGATAGATAGATGGATAGATAGATAGATAGATAGATAGGCAGGCAGACAGACAGACAGACAAACAAATAGATCGGTAGATGGGTAGATGATGGTAGATGGATACATAGATAGATAGGTAGGTAGGTAGGTAGATAGAAAGATAGATCTAATGATAGATATATAGATAGATATATAGATAGATTTATATATATATAGATAGATAGATAGATTTTAGTCTTTATACGTTAGCGTCGGTTAGGCAGGTCAGATTAGATTAGATTAGATTGGATACATAGTCGTCCAATTACTGAGTCAGATTCAAATTCAAGTAGGATGAACATCTTGGCAAAACCCTGCCTTCTCGAACCATGGAAGGTCAGCTTGAGTCACATACCTGGTTGGCTGCGGTTGTCACAGCTGGTCACTTTGAATTGTTTCACTCACTCTCTACTGAGATCCTGAAGTTTTTGCTAGGCAACCCGGTCTTTCTGCGATCAAGGGAGGTGAAAATGGCATCTTCGAAGCCACCAAACCTCAACAGGAAAATCGGCTGCGCCCTACATAGCCCTGGGGTAACTCAGCAGCACAGCAGTTTTGGCGAACAACATGAAACTAGTGAAAGCTTTGTTTCACCGCAGAGAAAACCAAAACAACATGACTTCTTTACCAAATTTACCAAGTAGCCATCCATGTCGTGGAGCGTTTTCGAGGAACTGCTCCCTGATGAAAGTGCATTCCTGACTGATCATAACCCATCTAGGGCAGTAAATCGGAAATCAAACATGCGTGACAGTGCACCTCAAACTTGCCAGGTTTAACAGGGAATATGATGATAAATCCAATCCAAAGGGATTTAGGCGTAAATTGGCACATCCAAGTTAGGTCTCGGAGAGCTCCAATTGCGTCTGACGCTGCTGAAACACGATGAGACTGCTGACCCCTCTACACCTTTTGCCAAATCGTTGCACCTCACTTCCCCCGTTCATATTAAGCACCACCAAAAAAAAAAGGAAAACATGGTGCGGTAGGAATTTAGAGATTTTTTGGGACCCAAAAAATGGCAGCCCAGCTTCAGCCGGTGGAACGGCACCCTTCTGCTTCCGCAAGGCCCTTTTGTCCCCTTCCTTGGATGCTGGATTCCGGGCCAAAAGAAATTGGAAATCAATAAGTCGAAGTTCATCAAATGTTTATTCCCAGTCTCAGTAGATTCCCTCATGTCCATTTCTGCTCGATGGTTTAAAAACATGATCTGATGTCCCCATTTCTGGTGGATGTACCGAGGGGAAAATGCAAAAATCACCCGCTCAACAAATCCAACAAATCCTGGGGCATGGTACAAGAACAACAAATCACAGCAAGTCCAAGAAAAATTGGTAGATTTGGTATCCCCTGTCACCAGATCATCCATTTAGTATTATCCAAACCCAAACAAAAATAAGAAGTCCAATCATAAAACATATAAAACCATCCCAGCTCCCAAATGGGAGTTGTTGAAAACAACGGGTTTGCCCACCTTTTCCAAGTTTCCGAAGGCCCCAGCTCCACCAAACTCCCCCGCAGTTGCACCACCATGTCTTCGGGGCTGCCAAAGGTTTCCGCGCACCAGGCTCGAAAGGCGGCCCACAAGTCAGCACACTTGCCGTCCACCTGAGGGCGACGTAAAATGCCATGGTTTTAGTGGGACTTAAACAACAAGAAATGGTGGTTTAAACGACAAAAAAATGTGGTTATAGATGGTTTTAGTGGGATTTCACCACAAAAAATGAGGAAAAGATGCTATGAAACTTGGAATTCAATGCATTTACCACGAAAAAAACAAAGGAAGAATTGGGATTTAACCAACAAGATTGGGGGAATAGGACACCAGTTGCCAAGAAACACTGAATTGCTATTTATGGGGATCGACTTGATGGGAAGTGTTGCCCCTTTATCAAATGGTGGTTTCATGGGTTAAGCAACATATTTCATGGGAATTCTAGCGTTGGAACCAACACCAAGCGCAAAATCTCATTGGGTTCCCGGTCCCATCTGCTGCCTCATAGAGGGTCAAAAAGCCCGAATCATCTGCCTTGGTTCATGGGGCGACTACAGCAAAGTGATGTAATACGGTATGTAAACCTAATAGTAAGCCTCCAATTATTAAGGGTTGATACTATCTATTTCTGGTAATATTGGGAATTGTTTGGGGCGCAGGGTTTGCCACTTTAAACTCCTTACAGGCAGTTAAAATCGTTCCGCACTGCCAGGCGACATCAATCTGTCTGAACATCACCTCGGCATCCCCTTTGAAATTCAACCTGGCAGGGGTCCATGTCTCAGGCGGAGCACCTAAAACCAGGAGGGTTCCCTCCTCCCATGCCTCAAGCAAATGAAACGCACATGGTAAGCCAGTTGGGTGACAAACCAATCTAAGTACACTTTGGAATTGGATGGAACTTGTATATATACTTATTTATTTAGTTATTTTTTTACTTATTTGTTTATGTATGTGCGTGTATGTATAACTGCACGTACGTATGTATGTACGTACGTACGTATGTATGTATGCATGCATGGATGGATGTGGATGTGGATGTGGATGTGGATGTGTATGTGTATGTGTATGTGTATGTGTGTATATGTATGTGTATATGTATGTGTATATGTATATGTATATCTGTATATGTATATGTGTATGTGTATGTGTATGTGTGTGTATGTATGTATGTATGTATGTATGTATGTATGTATGTATGTATGTATGTATGTATGTATGTATGTATGTATGTATGTAATCTATCTAATGCATGTATGCATGTATGTATGTATGTATGTAATCTATCTAATGTATGTATGTATGTATGTATGTATGTATGTATGTATGTATGTATGTATGTATGTATGTATGTATGTATGTATGTATGTATGTATGTATGTATGTATGTATATATGTATGTATGTATGTATGTATGTATGTATGCATGTGTGCATGTATGTATGTATGTATGTGCATGTGCATGCATGGATGTATGTATGTATGTATGTATGTATGTGTGTATGTATGTATGTATGTATGTATGTATGTATGTATGTATGTATGTATGTATGTATGTATGTATGTATGTATGTATGTATGTATGTATGTATGTATGTATGTATGTATGTATGTATGTATGTATGTATGTATGTATGTATGTATGTATGTATGTATGTATGTATGTATGTATGTATGTATGTATGTATGTATGTATGTATGTATGTATGTACTAATGCATATATGTATGTATGTATGTATGTATGTATGTAGGTAGGTAGGTAGGTAGGTAGGTAGGTATGTATGCATGCATGCATGTATGTATACATGCATGCATGCATGCATGCATGTATGTATGTATGTATGTGTGTGTGTTTTTTGGTTTTCTCATTGGGACCATCCCAGAGAGTATCCAAATATTGTTTTTTTGTTCTTGTGTGGATTTTTTACATAAGATTGTATTGGAGGATGTTGCAGGTAGATCATGGGGGGTGTGACTATATACATATATACATATATATATACATATGATATAACCCGTAGACTTGCATATAAATTACACCTGTGTACCCCCAAAAGCCTAGATCTACAGCTGGCCTGGCCTCCGGAGTGCAGTGGTGAACTCCTAGGACGCTGAAAACGATCGTTCTTGGACCCAAATAAAAAGGTAAAAGATCCAAGTGAAAAATTGACTTTCATCATCCTAGCTTTTTGCAGGTTACACGTGATAGATTCCCAGGGGTTTCCGTACTCTTGGTGGAATGAACTCTCAGATGCGGCAATGCCTGATCTCAGAGGGCGGAGCGTCCTCCAAACTCACTTGTCCATCACCATCATCATCCGAGTCAAAGTACCGCAGCCATGCAATCAGGACGTGTCCAACGGTGTTCCTTGGGGCCAGGAGACATGCTGCATCTGAGCCCAAGCTGCCATGGATGCCTTGGGATGTAATAGTATATATATATAATACATGGATTTCTCATCACTGCAACCGGGCGTCCGAAGAAAAGCAGCCAGGAACTCTGAAGCGTCGCCCGCCGAGGGATTGAAGGCCATGAGTCGCAAAAGTGTTGCAGAAAGCTGACACATGCACAATGATTTCGACAAGTCCCCTGCGGGTTGCGAAAAACTGCTGCATGAATTGACTCCTATTCTGATGGCTTGCACGGGCAAATTGAGGATCATTGATGTGCTAACGTTGGTGCATTTAGAGCACTGCAAGGACTGAGAGTCGGCTATGGAAATTTGATGGAATTTGGAGTTGTCGTTACGTTTCCCTAAGTCCCTAAGCACATCTAGGTACCATGATGGACTGTGATTCACCATGATCTTGTTGGCATAGAGAATAGCTTTGGTGCCAGTTCCCTACCCGGCGCTGGTTGTTCAGCCCAGCAGGCGGCTTTTCGAGATCACCAGGTGGTTGAAGGTTGGAGCGGTCATCTGTGAAAGCAGAAATCGTGTCTCTGAGCAAAGAACTTTCAGAAAAATCAGTCCACAACCTTCTCCTCGGGCATATCCATCACCACCTGCCAAAAATTGGAGACAGATCTATTCAGCCATTCAGCTGCAGTGCAGGAAATAATGTTACGCAATATACGCGTGTTCTGAAACGCGCCGAAGCTAAGTCCAGCACTTTCATCAAACGTGAAACACCGGCCCTTCGTTGACAGCATGTGCAAGCCACACCTCGCAAAGTCCCATCATACAACTCATACATCAAATGACATGCTGTTGCTGGGTCTCCGAACATGGCAATGTAGGACCCTGCGCCTCAATCCAATCAACTTCAAGTTCCCATTCCAGAGCCGACCACCATATCGATAGCCACCATCTCAGTTCCGCACCGATCTGGCAGCAAATTCCGCCTGCGATGGACTCGTACAACCTGCAGTGGGGTTGGCTGTGCGGGGGGAGACAATGGGGCAACAGCATGTCCAAGTTCTGTCAAGTTCCACCACACCATCATAAGGTCCTGTGCAAAAATGAAATCTAGCCCAACCATATTGTGATTTATCGCAGATATGATGATAAACCGTGACAAAACATTGGATTTTGGCGGTACCAGTGTTTTGGACAAACCCTGCCAGGCTTTATTTTGGTCTTCCTTCAGGTCGTTGCCACAGCGCCTGCATCCCGCACACCACGTCGCGTGGTTTGTCCGTTTGTCCGTTTGGGCACACCGAATCGCCGGGCCCAGCGGCCCAGCGCTCCTCGCACTCGGCGGTGATCTCGATAGTCCATGGGATTGCTGACAACTCCTGCCATGTTCCAGACCGTGATCATGAGATCACACCGTCAGGCCATCAGATGAATCAGATCCGCTGGTTGAGGAACTTTGGAACTTGGAGTAGCTCGTGCGACACTGGACCAGTTGGGTTCATCACATTCCTCTGTTGTAATACAACTCCAAGGCGAAATTGGTTTGCGGCCATCTCTGAGTCTCCTTAGTCAACGACCCATGACAGGGGTGGAGGCTTTGTTCTCTGACTTTCTGGAAAAATCTGGAAAACTCCTCGCGGTCCTATTGTAAAAAGGGCACGTTCATACCCGATTGTTCCCAACAGCCCATGTCTATGATGGGCTGCAGCGAAGGTGCTGCCATTTCGTTCAGCAAGTTGACGTTGTACGCAAAGGCCGGCACAGCGGGTTCCATTCTAGCGGCTTGTGCCACGTGCAAGGCGCCCTCATTGAGTTCACCCAGGAGCAGTTTGGCAATGCCAAGGTTGTTCTCCAGGTATGCCTGGAGGTTACACCCTGGCCCCTTGCGTCCGAAAATGTGGTATACTCATGGACACCCCTCATGGATGCTCCCAATCTTGGCCATGAAAATCTCTGGAGATGAACCAATGGGTTTAGAGGTGACCTATTGACTAAGTTATTGGCCTATTTTGAGACACAAGTATACTTGTTGCTGTTTCATGCTGTTTCAGTGGAAGCAGGACCTCCTTGTCTCCTGGTGTGTGTTTTTCTCCAAGCGGCATTTTCCGGATCATACTTCATGGCCAGCTGGAAAGCTGCCCGTGCTTCCTCATTCATCCCCAGGTGAATGTAGGCATAACCTGCCACAGGATGTGGTGATTTCTGAAGATTTCTGGCAGCAAACCTACAGTAACTTGTGATGGTTCCGTAAAATGATGATGTTTTTGCTAGCGGGGTGAAAACCGGACCCTATTTTTACTGTTTTTTTGTGGATGCACTTGCGAACCATGTTGATGTTATGGGGTGGGGTGGGGTGGGGTGGGGGGTGTATTAACGTTCATGTAGGCTCTAAGCAGAAACGACTGCGTTGATGTCAGGCACTGACAGTTGGCAACATATTACGTGATGGATTTTGTGTTGGCATAGATGTAATGCGATACGTCATGGGACTTGGGGTGGGGTGAAGTGGGGTGGGGTGGGGGTGGGGGCGTATTAACCTTCATGTAGACTCTAAGCAGAAACGAATGCGTCTGTGGAAAAGAACGATGTTAGATGTTACGTTATCGGACATGGCTGGAGGTAGGACAGAGGTTACATGTGACGTTACGCTGTTTGCATTGACAGGGTAAAAATGTTACATGTTACGTCAAGTTTTTTGTGTTGACCGAGTGAAAGATGTTACATGCTACGTCATAGGATACGGCTGAAATTAGGACAGATGTTACATGTTACGTTAAGATACGTTAAGTTGTTTGTTTTGACCGAGTAAAGATGTTACATGCTACGTCATAGGATACGGCTGAAGTTAGGACAGATGTTACATGTTACGTTAAGTTGTTTGTTTTGACCGAGTAAAGATGTTACATGCTACGTCATAGGATACGGCTGTAGTTAGGACAGATGTTACATGTTACGTTAAGTTGTTTGCTTTGACCGAGTAAAGATGTTACATGCTACGTCATAGGATACGGCTGAAGTTAGGACAGGTGTTACATGTTACGTTAAGTTGTTTGTTTTGACCGAGTAAAGATGTTACATGCTACGTCATAGGATACGGCTGACGTTACGACAGATGTTACATGTTACGTTAAGTTGTTTGTTTTGACCGAGTAAAGATGTTACATGCTACGTCATAGGATACGGCTGTAGTTAGGACAGATGATACATGTTACGTTAAGTTGTTTGTTTTGACCGGGTAAAGAGGTTACATGTTACGTCATAGGATACGGCTGTAGTTAGGACAGATGTTACATGTTACGTTAAGTTGTTTGTTTTGACCGACTAAAGATGTTACATGCTACGTCATAGGATACGGCTGAAGTTAGGACAGATGTTACATGATACGTTAAGTTGTTTGTTTTGACCGAGTAAAGATGTTACATGCTACGCCATAGGATACGGCTGTAGTTAGGACGGATGTTACATGTTACATTAAGTTGTTTGTTTTGACCGAGTAAAGATGTTACATGCTATGTCATAGGATACGGCTGTAGTTAGGACAGATGTTACATGTTACGTTAAGTTGTTTGTTTTGACCGAGTAAAGATGTTACATGCTACGTCATAGGATACGGCTGTAGTTAGGACAGATGTTACATGTTAGGTTAAGTCGTTAAGTTGTTTGTTTTGACCGAGTAAAGATGTTACATGCTACGTCATAGGATACGGCTGTAGTTAGGACAGATGTTACATGTTACGTTAAGTCGTTACGTTGTTTGTTTTGACCGGGTAAAGATGTTACATGTTACGTCATAGGATACGGCTGTAGTTAGGACAGATGTTACATGTTACGTTAAGTTGTTTGTTTTGACCGACTAAAGATGTTACATGCTACGTCATAGGATACGGCTGTAGTTAGGACAGATGTTACATGTTACGTTAAGTTGTTTGCTTTAACCGAGTAAAGATGTTACATGTTACGTCATAGGATGCGGCTGTAGTTAGGACAGATGTTACATGTTACGTTAAGTTGTTTGTTTTGACCGAGTAAAGATGTTACATGCTACGTCATAGGATACGGCTGTAGTTAGGACAAATGTTACATGTTACGTTAAGATACGTTAAGTTGTTTGTTTTGACCGAGTAAAGATGTTACATGCGTCATTGGATAGGGCTGTAGTTAGGACAGATGTTACATGTTACGTTAGGTTGTTTGTTTTGACCGAGTAAAGATGTTACATGCTACGTCATAGGATATGGCTGTAGTTAGGACAGATGTTACATGTTACGTTAAGTTGTTTGTTTTGACCGAGTAAAGATGTTACATGTTACGTCATGGGATACTGTATGGCTGGAATTAGGACAGATGCGCAGCAGTGGCAATGGCGGTGGGTCCAGAAGAAACACTTGTTCCAGGCTACAGGCTCTGGCAACCAAAAAAAGACATTGATAAGCAAAGCATGCATATATCAAAACGAAATGGCCCAAAATCCAGGAGTTAGACACTTGGAGAAAGAAAATTGGTCGAATTCGTTGCACGATTCGCATGGCCCTGCCAATACGAAATACACATTCGACTGTAAATTAAGGTCCGAATAACCCACCGGACGGATGTCTTTTTTATACATGTAAAAAAAAAAGTTTGTTGAGGTTGCTGGAGTTTGTAAATCGTTCTGCTCAAGCCAGCTGGTGGGCCACCATACGCTGGGGAAGCCAATGACAACGATGACAAGTTGAGACCGATTTACGAAGATGACAGGTTGATGCCTTTGCAAATCAATGCAAATCATCTTCAGCCGTTTTCATTCCCATCTCCATCTTTGGTTCTCATCCCTATATACTAGTTAGTTGACAGGAAAATCCATGATGGGCGATAGTAATCTCGAATAAACCAGGCAGTACATGCAATCTCACATGCAATCACAACTGGCATTCATGCACTCTACGCGCTGCCTAACTATCTCGTGCCCGCTGCCATGAGGCTCGCAGCCAGGCCGACGCAACTGTTAGGGCTGGCTCTGATGCTGGCAAAGGAGGAAGGAGGAAGAAGGAAGAAGAAGGAAGAAGAAGGAGGGATCGCAGCTTTCATTAAAAATCTACAGACCCTCACCTGGTAGGTGGGAAAAAACCATCTATATAAACATAACAAAACCACATCGCTGCAAAATAACATTTCCCCCAATGAAACTCCGCATAAAAATCTGGAGTGTGGGACGCTGTGGGTCCCCAGTTTTTACGTGATTTTTAGCTGCTTTTTACTATTTTTTTCTAGTTATTTATCACTGATTAAGTTTCTAGTCCTAGTCTCAAAGAAACATCATATTAAACAATACCAATGGAATCCCACAGGAACCAAATAGAAGTCCCATAGAAATATCATAGAACTACCATAGACATTCTCAAGACACCTCATGGAAATTCCATAGAATTCCCAAAGAAATCCTCTGAACATATCATAGAAGTACCATAGAAATCCTGTTTAAATCCCATAGGAACCCCATAGAAATATCATAGACATATCATGGAAAATCCCACAGAAATCCCCATAGAAATATCATAGATATAACATGGAAATAGCATAGGAACCACAAAGAAATCCCATAAGAATACCATAGATTTCCCTCAGGCATCCCATAGAAATTCCATAGAGATATCATAGAAACATCATAGAAACACCATAGAAATCCCATAGGAATCCATTGGAAGTCCCATAAGAATACCATAGAATTTCCATAGTATTCCTTCAGAAATCCCATAGAAATGCTCCAGAAATATCATAGAAACATCATGGAAATTCCATAGGAATACCATAGAAATCCAATAGGCATACCATAGAAATATCAAAGAAATCCAAAATAAATTTCACAGACATCCCATGGAAATCCCTTGGCTGGCTGAAGCTCACCCTTAGGAAAAAACTTTTCATTTAGACATTTTGAGAATTCCAAAAGAATGAGCTAAGAAAGTAAAAAAGAGAAACGTATTAGCAAAGGAAAAGGGAAGGAGAACATGATTTTGGAAAATGTTTACTGCCAAAAAAAAAGCTGGACACAATAGAGGACCACCACAACAAACATACTATTGAAGATCATTGTCATTCATGGATTTTGTTGGTTGGCTGAAATTCATCTTTTTTGGGAAACCTTTGGTCTTGATTCATCTCTTGCTCATGGACTACCCCCTTGAAAAAAATGTTTGGATGTTGTTTTTTCACTTTAGTTTGAATTTATTTTGAAATGGTTTCAACTTCCTTTCAATTGGCACCCCATAGTAATCCCATGGAAATATCATAGAAATCCTTTAGGAATCTCACAGAAATCCCATATAAAGATCATAGAATTAACATGGAATAGCACAGGAATCCCACAAAGAAATCCTAAAAGAATCCCATAGAATTCCCTAAAGAATCCCATAGAATTCCCTCAGGAATCCCATAGTAATCCCATAGAAGTATAGAAACATCATGGAACTCCCATAGGAATGCCATAGGAACCCCATAGTAATCCCAAAGAAATCCCATAGAAACATCACAAAGACACCTTAGAACCCCCATAGTAATCCAATGGGACTCCCATGAGAATACCATAGAATTCTCATAGCATCCCTTCAGAAATCCCATAGAAATCCCCTAGAAATATCATAGAAACATCATGGAAATCCCATAGGATTCCAATGTAAATCCCACAGACATCCTTTTGAATCCCCATAGGAATCCCATAGAAATACAATCGGCACCCCATAGAAATCCAATAGTAGTAGTCCCAAAGAAATATCATAGAACTACAATGGAACCCCACAGGAATCCAATAGAAGTCCCATAGAAAATATCATAGAACTACCATAGACATTCTCAAGACACCTCATGGAAATCCCATAGAATTCCCAAAGAAATCCTCTGAACATATCATAGAAGTACCATAGAAATCCTGTTTAAATCCCATAGGAACCCCATAGAAATATCATAGACATATCATGGAAAATCCCACAGAAATCCCCATAGAAATATCATAGATAACATGGAAATAGCATAGGAACCACAAAGAAATCCCATAAGAATACCATAGATTTCCCTCAGACATCTCATAGGAATTCCATAGAAATATCATAGACATACCATAGAAATCCCATAAGAACCCAGTGGAAGTCCCATAAGAATACCATATGAGGCTGTAGCAGACAAGATGGCCCAGAGAGCCACCTAGAGCCACCAAGATAGCCAAGATAGCCCATCTAGGGGGGGGGGGTCAGCCCAATTTTTTATTTTTTTTTTCGTGTGTTTTCTGTGTGGCTCTTTCTTTCCTGTGAATTAGAAATATAATCAGAGTCAGGTGTTCCTCAACTCTGCTTGTTAGTGACACTACAGATTCATAAGCATGAATTCCGTAGACGTAACATTTTTCCTAACAAAGATTCATATGTAATCTGTCACGTCGTCTGTCCAGACATGTGGAAACGTGGGAACTGAGAAACGTGGGGACTGAGAAACGTGGGGACTGAGAGCGTCCCTTTCTGGAAACAAACTATTGTTTCCTCAAATATATGTTTCCAAACAAAAAAAACGTTAAATCTAAAACGCAATAAATTTGCCAGCAAAAGTGAGCAATAATTAGCTAAAACATATATAAGGATATCTCGACTACTGTTTTTTTCTCCCCAAGTAACTCCGGCTAGGCACGCCTTTTGGGAAATCGTCCTCGCAGCTTAATGAAGGATTTTTATGCAACAGGCACACCTTTCACCACCGACTGTATCAGCCTCATAACCACTCAACCAGGGCAACTGCTCATTGCATGTCCCCTCACGCCCTGCTCGGGGCAGCCAAGGGGCCAAGCGCGTTAAGGCCATATGGCACGTCTTCGTTGCGTCTCAGACCTTCCTTGATGGGTTGAATGGCATCTTCAAAGCGCTTCATCATCACCAGAGAGAAACCTGTGACAAAACCAGGGCCCCACTGACTGGTCCCAACTGGCAAGAAAAAACACAAGATGTTCACAAACCACAATAACTTAACATATAATAACTAGGCTATAATATGTTACAGTCGGAGTCATAGTGTAGTTATTCTAAGATACCAGCAGTACCGCACAACGCGGTGGCGGAAGTTACAAAAATAGGAAACCTATAGGAGAGGTGAGTTGTTGTGATTCATGGGTGGCACAGCGAACTGATGGACCGAAAGGTGGTTGACGCTCGGAATCTCTCTCTGTCTCTATCTCTCTCTCTGTCTCGTTCTCTCTGTGTCTCTCTCTATCTCTTTCTCTCTGTCTCTCTCATTCTTTCCCTCCCGCCCTGGCTCTCTGTCTCTGTCTGTCTCTGTCTGTCTCTGTCTGTCTCTGTCTGTCTCTGTCTGTCTCTCTCTCTCTCTCTTTCTTTCTTTCTTTATTTCTTTCTCCCCTCCTTCTCTCTACGTCCTTCTCTCTCCCTATCTATCTTTCCATCTGTCTATCTATCTGCCTATCTCTCTACCTATCTATCTATCTATCTATCTATCTATCTATCGCTCTCTCTCTCTCTCTCTCTATCTCTCTCTATCTCTCTCTATCTGCCTACCTATCTATCTATCGATCGATCTATTGATCCATCGATCTATCGATCTATCGATCTATCGCTCTATCTCTATCTCTCTATCTATATAGTCTATACCTATATCTATATATATATATATGTCATGTCTATATTTCTAAGTATCTGTATATCTATATCTATATACCTGTGTATATATATATATATAATATTCTAAGAATTCTATGCGACTGTCTTATCTTGTCATGTCTTACCTCATTTTATCTTACTTCTATCTATCTATCTATCTATCTGTCTGTCTGTCTGTCTATCTATCTATCCATCCATCTATCTATCTATCGACCTACCTATCTATCTTTCTTTGTATTGTAGTAACATCTATCTCTCTCTTTGTCACTATGCGCCTATGCGCCTGGTTCTTTATCAATTTCTCTGTCTCTCTGCCAATCTCTCTCAATCTCTAGTACTCTCACTCACTCTCTCTCTCTCTCCCTCTCCCTCTCTCTCTCTCTCTCTCTCTCTCTAGCCGCCATTTGCCATCCTTTTCTTTTGGCCAAGTTGATGACCGAAGGCAGGGCTTGTTCTCCAATATTAATCTCTTGAAGTGCAATCAAAGAGACTTTGTGGGCAACAGCCCGGTCAAGGAGGTCCTCGCCGTTGGAATGAGAACTACGTATGTTTTGCGACCAGATACGCAAATGCATGTTGCCATCCAAAGCCTGGGTAGACTCGGAATTCTGCGTTGGTGAAGGCCCAGGATTTGACGCTTCGCCAAATTCATTCATGTGATACCAGCCTTAGTAATTTCGCGAAGTGTTTTGGAAGCCTTAGAAGTCTGTTTTGTTTGTTTTTTCACCTTTTTTGTTGGGTACTTAACAACTTTGAGCGCTGCTTGTTTGCGACATTTGGACCAAATTTCCGCCCTTTTGGCTCTGGAAGGTATCTTTCCCTTGGTGAAATCTCCCCGACAGATGGTCCCTGGCACCGCACTGGCACTAAAAATGCGATGACATTTTTTACACTCATATTTGTTAACATGTGTACTCATGCCTCGAGAGTCCTTGCTGGCAAAGATCGAGACTGGGTTTGGATTCAGGTCATGAGCCCCGGGCCACCTGTGGTTTTTGAAAATTTTCAATTGTTCCTGCCAACGTTTTTGAACCGTGGCATGAGATGAGATCAGTCTTTGTGGCGCACTCATGTCGTCCCTTGGCAAAGGAGATTTGACAATCCCATGGTGGTTTTTCAAATCAGAACTCCTCAAGTACGAACGTTTTGTGCCTGATCCATCATGTTCAAAAATCGAAAAATCACAAAACTGACACGCTCACCAAAGTTTCGGTGTGTTCTGCGAATCCTGTGGGACTAATGGCAGTCCTCCAAAAGGTTTTGGTTTTGGTGTCAAGTCCGTACTACGTCGTCGGACTTGATTTTGCAAAGCTTGACATTCAGCCCATTCCTTTATGTAAGACTGGGCTTGATTCTCGACAATCTTTTCGGCTTTCTATAACCATTTGTTCCATTGTTTGATTTTTGCCAAATCAGTTTTCGACGCCGGCTTTCCCTTCTCTAAAGACTCAGAACAGGTCGACAGGGGGATTTGATTCCTGGGGATGACCTTACCACAATCAGCCCATTTCCATTGGTATTGCCTCCCTTTGGAACTGGATCGCTGATGGCCCGCCAAAACATATTTAACATATGGAGGCCAACCCACCTTCTGGCCCCAACAATGCCAAAGAGCGTGTTGGCAACCTTAACGTTTTTGTCACTCTGAACAGCATGTCTGTGGCTTGGTTCCCCAGGCGGTGTCAGAATGCCTGAGGCCCGGATTCCATAGATCTTCAAAAGATGTTTGTTTCGACTCATCTGAGGGCGGGCGCAACGACAAATTGGCATGACGAAAAACTTGAAAACCACAACTTTTTATGAGCAGAAAAACATGCAACTGCTTCCTGAGACCTAGCATGTGCATGGGTGCTAAAAGCATTACTATCGGTGGCAACTGACCCATTTTCTTCCGGGAGATCCAACCTGCTGTCATGCGAATGCACGTTGGATTCAGCAAGGTTACGTTTGCTGCGAGTTGTTTGGACTGACCTTAATGACCCTCTAAAATCTGGCCCCCGGTTCGCAACTGAAGACAGACCGCGTGAACTAGGCAGTGACAACACAGACCAAGCCTTGGGCTTGCTTTTCTGTCTCGAACACTTTTGGCTCGATTGTGCTTTTGACTTGCGCTGATAGCTTCTGACTTGGGTAAGCTAAGGGCCTCACCAGAAGCAGGAAAGCTATAAGGATCGAACCGGAAGGTCCAAAGCTAAGTGCAGATCTGACACTTTTGGTTGAAGCAGCCAACTTGATTGCCGAACTGTTTCGGCGTTTGGTTTGCATACCTCCTCGATAGAACTTGTTGTCCCGACCTTCAGTCCTTTCAAGCCAAACATCCGGGATCGGTTCATCTTCATTGTCCAGGCACAAGGACCGGTAGTGTTTGTCATGTTGCATTAATATCAGCGGAGCCAGCACCCTTGTTTTTGACTTTAGCAGTATTTCCAACAAAGGAATTGGCAACGACTGACCGCTCCCATGATTGACGTTCATGGCTCCATGCAAACACAATAATTGGAATCTCTAAACGTGTGGCAAGGGCCGTGAGCAGGAGGTCATCAGCATAATAACCTTGTATGCTGGCCGTGAGACCGTATTCGGCATAATCTTGGGACACCTCCGCGCTTGCGCACATGTATGCTTCCTCATCTGGGTCCACAGCACAGAACGGTTCGTACTTATCTTTGAATTTAAGCAGTTGACCTGTGGCCAAGACCCATAGGCGTGAAGCCTCCCGGATAAGGGATTCACCAACTACATTCTTCTGTGGGATTCTCCCAAGACTGAACGCTGCACATCTAAATGCACAGTCACCATTGCCGCCGTGGTTGATGAAACTCCATCCTGGGTACAAAGCCTGAAACGCTTTGTCTGGGTCAATCTTTTGTTGCAACACTTTTGATTTTCCTTCACCTTTACCTTTACCGGCTTGTCGTCGTGGAGGCCTCTCTTTCTCTCCTGAGATCTCACTGTTTGTGTCCTGAGTCAAATCAATTTGAGTGGGACCTGGCTGGGGAGTATTAGGCCGATTATCGGCCCATCTCTTTTTTGGGGCCGAGACTCTCTCAGTGGGAACCTGTCGTCGGGCCCTAGGTCGCACAGGGGCGATAGTGATGTGCATGCTTCCGTCCTCTGTCATGTAATGCCAAAAGTTGGGATTAGCCTCATCTTGCTGTGGAGCCGGGGTGGCTCGGAACAACCAAAACCGGTTTCCTCTGTGGATTTTGTTAAGCACTTGAACATCTGTCCACTTATTATCCTGGACAAATTCTTGAACTTCTTTTTGAGTCCAGTGTCTTGGTCCCTCCCCAAAGCTGCCAACTTCGCACTTGGTTGGAAAGAACTGGAGCTTGCGCAACACCGGGAAGGCCAAGGTCGCTGGCGCCACCTTGTCGCATCACCCATAGCACTTTGTGTTTTTGAGCTTGGGCCAAGGACTGTCTAAAATACTCTCAGTCGATTGTCTGGCTTTCGGAAGCCAAGTCACCGTTTTCCTAGCCTCAGCTTTGTCAATCACCGCCGCATATACGGCTTGTCTGCCAGAGAGCGGGATGATTTTGTCAGCAACTTCCTGGGGGACTTTAATAACTTTAATGTGTCCCAACAAGATTTTGCCATGGTGGTGAGTGGCAACCTGCCATTGGCCTCCAGTAAGAAAAGAAACTGGATCCCAGCCGACGCCGCCCATGACGCGATCACCGTTTTAGGCGTATCATCATGAATAACTCCAGGGATGAACTTCCTATAAAAAACGCGAGTTAAAAACCGGACCGTGACCATTTTGGGTCCTTCAGGTTTGGGAAAAGTCGTGACAACAGCAGGACGGGGGACAGGTCCCTCCGTCATTTGCACGATGTCCAATTGGATTCTTTGGGGCCCGGCCGTATTAGTCTTACCATGCGACCACCAAACGCAAACACTAGGGGCCGCACATGGCTTCTGATTGACCGTAGCAACTGTGAGTTTCTGAGCTGCACACCCAAAAGCATTCCACAAATTCTTTGCCTCAGTGACAACGTTGGCATCGTTGCACACGATGAGATTGCCTGGCACCTCCTCACCTGCAGTCAGAGCACGTTGGATCTGAGGGAGACTGGTTATGACCGGTTCATGTTTCCATTCCGACGGTCTAATTTTCACAGCGAAACGGGTGTTCGCCAAGTCAGATTTGGTCTTTCCAAGACCCTTTGTTGACTTTCCTTGGTTTGGGGATTTAGTATCTTTGACCTTATCCACCCATGTTTGTTTTCGAGATGCCGTCACATGTCTATCAGAAACCCGAAGACATTGAAGAGCTTCTTTGACATTAGCCGACAAAAGTTGGTCAGACCTCAGGAATGACTGCACTTCTGCGACTGGCCTTTCCAAAAGCATACCAGTAACTTTGCCAGCATGCTCTGGTGTGTGTTTTGCAACTTTGGTGTGAAGCAATTCTCCCAACTGTTGCTTGGTGCTTGACAATGCAGTTTCTGTTGGTTTCCCCTTCCGATCATCTTTGGATTCAGACTGGGGTTCTGGCATGGGCGGTGCATGACGACTGATCTTGTTAATCAATCTCTGTGCTACCACTTCATCCGACCATCCCTGAGTGAGAGCTGATTGGGTCGTCTGTAGTAAAATTCTGGCAAGTTTTGAGCTGGCAGGTTTCGGTGTTGGACCTCCCTTTCCCTTCTTTTGAGGGTTGCTAGGCGTCACGGCAGCCTGCCTGTCATGTTGAAATTTCTGCAAAACGTCCAAAAGAGACTGTGCAAGGAGGCTGTCTCCTTGGTCCTCGCTGAGTTCCGCTGCAGCAGCTTTTAGCTTCGGCACTCTGTCTGGCGCCGGCCCTGGGCGCTTTGCTTCCCCTACTCGAACCCCAAGCCAGCCACAAATCCAAGACACGACTTTGGTGAACTTAGTCTGTTGCTTGGGCACTGGGTGTGTGAAAGCATGTGTCCTTTCACGTCTCGCCTTGTGTAAGGAATTCAACAACATGATGCGTTTCCATTTTCCCATCAATCTATATTTTCTCCTTAAAACTCTCCGCCGTCTCCTAGCAATCCATCGACAAAGCCCGATCCGTCGACCGTGGGTCTGTTTGGAGAGAGGTTTGGACAATCGTTTCTGTTTCCGTTTTTTGTTTCTGACTCCGACCGCTGGTGTCCTGATGACACAACCACAAAAAAACAGAACATAGTAGGGCCTAAAGGGATAGCAGGGAAACCTACCAAGTCCTCCAATTTTCTGCAGCAAGTCATGGGTAAACCCACGCGCAACCGCAGCTCATCAGCATGCACATTCATGCAAGGCTTGGTTCCATTACTAGAAGCCATTGGCCAAGGCAAGGCTGTGGAATCATGGCTGGTCAGCGCCATTGAGATTTTACTAACGCCCGGGGGGCCCCAACAAGGGCCAAGTCTAATTGCATCCAAGTCACAAATACCACCATCTTTCCCCAAAACGAATCCCTCAAAAGGACCGGGGTTAAGGGGGTAACCAAAAGATCCAAAAGTGTGAGCCTCGCAGCAGCCACAGCAGTACAGCAACAGCACAGCAACAAAATGCCATGTGTGCCCTTTCCACTTGTGGCCCTGTTTCCAAATTTCTTGTCTCTTGTCTTTCGTTCTTTTGGGCTCTTGGCGCAGTTCAAATGCGCTTCTTTTTACACAATTCAATTTGCGACGGCATCTCAGCGCGGCGACGCAAGACCAATGCGAGGCCGCCCACCAGTACCACGTGGAGGTGTGCCGTTTCTGGCCTTCACTCAACTTGTCATTGAGCACATGATAGTTGCAAAAACTCTCAGCAACTTTGGCATTCAACTTAGGATGTCTTTTCAAAGAAGCATTTGTTGCATTTCCGGATTGTGCAAAAACAGCAGGTTTGTTTGCCCACTTTAGGCGGATGGATTTTTCTGGGGGCTTCTGAAGAATTTTTCGGCTTGACAGGCGAATCTTTTTTGTCATCATCAAATCGTACTTGGCGCGTCTTTGCGGCATCACTGACATCACCTGAATACTGAGAAAAAAATGTTTTTCAGCTTTCCAAGTAATCCAGCAGCATTTCCGTTCTTGCAAGTGTTCACCACGGTAACAAGGTCATTATATAAACCATGCTGTTCACTGTGCTTGGGCGCATTCTTTTTCCTTGTCACTTCAACCCAAGAGTCTTGACGGTAAGATGTGGTTTTTCCGGCTTTGGAGTGATGTCATCTTGCTCAAAATGAGTTCCATTACACTTCTTCAACAACTCGGTCAGTCCTTCAAGAAGCATTTGCTCAGTCTGTTTGCGTTTTGTTGTTGCAGATCCACCAGCTCCATCTCGCAAGGTGTGGGCAAGTGAACCTTTCAGGGCTGGCTTTGTGTTCCTCTCATTGCAAAACTGTTGCGAAGGATTGCTTGGTGGTTCAATCCCGTCGCTATTTTCTCTGCTTTTTCTTCTGCTGCAGCGCAAAACTCCCAACAGAATGACTGACAGGTATCTGCAGCAAGACTGGCAAACAAATTGCAGGCATGTGCAAGCCTGGCTGATCATTGTCACCTTTTTCTTCCGATAGCGAGATGCCACTCACCTATTTCCAACCCAAGTGGCTGGGTATATATTGCGTCAAGTTGTGTGTGAGCAAGTTGTGTGTGTGTGAGCAAGTTGTGTGTGAGTAAGTTGTGTGTGGTCAAGTTGTGTGTGGTCAAGTTGTGTGTGGACAAGTTGTATGTGAGCAAGTTGTGTGTGAGGAAGTTGTGTGTGGTCAAGTTGTGTGTGAGGAAGTTGTGTGTGGACAAGTTGTGTGTGTGAGCAAGTTGTGTGTGAGTAAGTTGTGTGTGGTCAAGTTGTGTGTGTGAGTAAGTTGTGTGTGGACAAGTTGTGTGTGAGCAAGTTGTGTGTGGACAAGTTGTGTGTGAGCAAGTTGTGTGTGGTCAAGTTGCGTGTGAGCAAGTTGTGTGTGAGTAAGTTGTGTGTGGTCAAGTTGTGTGTGAGCAAGTTGTGTGTGGTCAAGTTGTGTGTGAGCAAGTTGTGTGTGAGCAAGTTGTGTGTGGACAAGTTGTGTGTGTGAGCAAGTTGTGTGTGAGTAAGTTGTGTGTGGTCAAGTTGTGTGTGGTCAAGTTGTGTGTGGACAAGTTGTATGTGAGCAAGTTGTGTGTGAGGAAGTTGTGTGTGGTCAAGTTGTGTGTGAGGAAGTTGTGTGTGGACAAGTTGTGTGTGTGAGCAAGTTGTGTGTGAGTAAGTTGTGTGTGGTCAAGTTGTGTGTGAGTAAGTTGTGTGTGTGGACAAGTTGTGTGTGAGCAAGTTGTGTGTGAGGAAGTTGTGTGTGGTCAAGTTGTGTGTGAGCAAGTTGTGTGTGTGAGTAAGTTGTGTGGTGACAAGTTGTGTGTGTGAGCAAGTTGTGTGTGTGTGTGGTCAAGTTGTGTGTGGTCAAGTTGTGTGGTGACAAGTTGTGTGTGAGCAAGTTGTGTGTGTGTGTGAGCAAGTTGTGTGTGGTCAAGTTGTGTGTGAGCAAGTTGTGTGTGGTCAAGTTGTGTGTGAGCAAGTTGTGTGTGGACAAGTTGTGTGTGAGCAAGTTGTGTGTGAGTAAGTTGTGTGTGGTCAAGTTGTGTGTGTGTGAGCAAGTTGTGTGTGGACAAGTTGTGTGTGGTCAAGTTGTGTGTGAGTAAGCTGTGTGTGGTCAAGGGTCAAGTTGTGTGTGGTCAAGTTGTGTGGTGACAAGTTGTGTGTGTGTGTGTGAGTAAGCGGCGGGCGGCGGAGAGGCGGGGCCAGGCGGGGCCAGGCGGAAGTGCACAACCAAAAACAAGAACCCCACACAAACATGTGGGGAAAAAACACAGGGTTTCGGGACTTTTGTACCTTTTCGCGCACGCTGATCCTCTTTTTCCTGACTCTCTCTTCTCTTACTTTTTCTCTTCTGACTCTTTCTCTTCTCTGACTTTTCGCACCTCTGCTGCTTCATCTGTCCATATTGTCGGAAGTTTGACTTCTAAACTTCCTTCGATCATAACTAGGATGCACATCCATGCACGGGTACACAAGATCCATACATCATCCGATATATTTCGTGGAACACCATTGAATACCATCCTCTGAATATCTTTGGGGGGTCTTTTTTTTCACCACGACTCCACCCGATGCGTCAGACGCGCTTCTTTACACCGGCAGCAAAGTATGACCCACAACTTTATGGCTTTGATTTCACCAATTTCACCAAGAAGCCATAATCAATGTAGAGGGACCAGAGGTTGTGGGAACCAAATCCCAAAGCATGCCTTGGAGCTGTGCACAGCCATTGATCAGTGAAGGATCGTCTATCAGGGCAGAACTGCTGGTGTCTTGTAAAGCTTGGCGTTGATGTGTCTTAAAGTTGAAGACGATCGTATCAAGGTGTTCCATAACTGATGCAAACAACATATATCACATAATATATTATAGACATTTATAGACGAACACAATCGGCCACGACACCCTGACAGGATCTTCGCAAACTTTTCTTCTGCTTCCTTGGCTCTCCCCGTCTCCAGCAGGATCTGACCAATGCAATACTGCGTGAGTCCAGTGCCGTCCTGGGTGGCACACGCTGCCAGGGCCGTCAGGGAATCTTTCGCTTGCACTTGAGGCTTCTGTCATCTTTTGTGTGCCCTCATCCTACATGGCCTATGGGTAAATAGATTTCAAGAGTGGGCGCCCCTGCAATTAATGATGCTTTACACGTGTTTTACATTTTACACTAAATACATCTAAATCTAAACACTACATACATATCAAACATGATTAAACTGAAAATGATCCAAATCTGGTTCCTAGGGCTTCACTGTTGGCCCATCCCATTCTGATCACATCCCGAGCATCAAAGATCGCCTCAGCAGCTTCGAAGTGATGTAAGGCTTCGCTATATCTTTCCATTTTGTGCAGGACAGTCCTTGAAGGACAGGAAGGAAAGGGCAAAAAACCTGAGGAAGGTATGTGGGGTTGATATGGGTTGATGTAGTTTGAGATTAAGGTTGACAGCTCAAGCTAGCAGCTGGCAATTCTTAAAGACATAGCATCTGAAATGCGAGTGGGACAAAAAGTGGAAGTTCGATTGTTACATAGTTTTCTCAAGCTGGAGGAGGCAAAACTATAAACCAACATCAACCAACGTCAACCAACATCAACCAACCACCAAGGCTCCCAAACTGATGTCGGTTCTTGGTGGATTGTGGATAGCTTTTGGCATCTGCGCCAAACAGCAACTCCCGCGAGGACCATTGGTAAGTGCGCAGTGCCCCAAGCCACGTGAAGGTCACCAGCAGTGTAGCAGCCAACACCCCAAAACCACCCTTGGAGCGGCTCGATTTGGGAAACGACCCTGCTGCGGCTAGAACCAGAGCGGCCCCCACGTTGCAAGGGTACAACAAACGTTCGCCCACAGTGACACCAACCACGAAGAAGAGATTGGAAGCTGGCACGAAGGGAATGATGATGTTGCTGAGGCCAATCAAAACCCTTCGGTTTCGCTGCGAGATCGTCCAAGATGCCAAGGCAGAAAGCCCCAGGTAGGTCATCAGAATGGCTAAAACCCTTAAGTCACGCCAGGTGCTCGACAAATCTGGCAGGGCATTGTAGGAATAATCCCAGGAAAGGGTCCAGGGCCACACCATGAGCTGCGCATACTTGGCGTGAAAATACCTGGTGGGTGCGTAAGCCACCTATCCCTAAAATATGAAAGTCAATTCAGATCATCATCCAAAGTAGGACGGAAAAAAACTCGGCCTGAGCGTTTATTTCGCAGGGGGAAAGTGTGATTGAAACCACCAACCAGACGCAGATATGTAGCGAGTCGTAGCCACGGATCGCTGCGATATTGAACTGGTGTGTCCACGAAGGAGAAACCTGCAGAGGTCCCCTGGGTGATCCAGCTTCGGCCAAGAAAGGTGAGGGCAAAGATCAGCAGAAATGGCAAGGATCCTCCAGGTTGTTAAGATAGCTCCCCAAATTTCCACTGGGAACCCATATATGGAACCTTTTTGAGGAGACAGGGGACCAAATCATTAACCCGAAAGTGATATTTAAAGCTTCTCAATACATCTCGTTACGACGTATTCAAGACCCTGTCCTTTGACAGGCCTCCTGCCCATTAATTCTATGGCCGCAAGTTGCAACAGTACACAGAAGCCACTTTCCTTACAGAACCCAGCCACCAATGCCAGCACTGTGACAAGGCCTATACGCAAGATCCTTGCTGCGAAAGTTCGCGATTTACCTGAGAGCCATACCAACAAGGCCAGCAACCAGCAACATGTCGCCATAGAGTCAGCTCGACCCACCAGGTAAATGACGTTCTCAGCATGCACGGGGTGAACTGCAAAACATCCAGCGGCCAAGAAGGCGAATTTCTTGGAGATACGCAGCTGACGCATCAAGAAGAGAAGGAGCAAGGCATTCGTAGAGTGCAAGGCAACATTCAAGGTCCGCAAAGGTTGCGGTCTGAAATCCCATCCGTTCATCCAATATTGAGCAGCATAGGACAGCACTACCAAGGGGCGGTAGGACTTGTGAGTCCATCCACTTGCAAGCGAATTGCCCCAAAAATCATGTTGCAATAGATCCAGCAGAGGAGTTTCTCCCCTGGCATCGGCATTTCGTACCGCTGCAAACAGTTCATCAATGTACCACTCACTGTACGTCACGCAAGGCGCAAAGACCATACTCAGCAAAAATACCCCCAGTGCTGCCAACATCCATCCATTGTATCCATTTTGGCTTGTAAACCCTTGGTTTTCAGATTTGCCACCTTCAGTTTCAACAGTTTTCACTGTGTTCACCTCATGTTTCCCATCATTTTTCCCCAAACCCTCCAAGTTGACGACGCTTTTTGCCGCTTCCTTCGGATCATTGCAGCGCTGCAGCAGGCGGCTGGGCTGACCGTTGACCTCAAGGGAGCGCTGCACAGTGGCGAGGACCTCCTGCGGCACGCGGGCAGCGAGGAGGTGCTCCAGGATGAGCGCGTGGAGTTCCGAGAGGTCGCAGCCGCTTCCGGCCATGGGGCGCCCCTGGGCGTGTCGGAAATGGCGATTTTTCAGCCTCAAAAATGGTTGGTGAACGGTCAAAGATGGTGGTTTCACCAACAAACATGGGGAGGGAATCCTAAAAATTGAGGGAGATTAATATGGGTTGATCCAACCTTGCTGAGGTTGGATTAACCATCTGGTTACAGTAAACTATTTTAAGAGTGATTTCTCCAATAAATCCTCCCAAAAATACCATGATTGTGATGCAACATCCCACTGTGGATTGTGGGCCCTGAGAATGCAGAGATCCATACTAAACCAAAGGATTGATTTTTTGGAGTTTAACTAGGGATTATAACCCCGCAATGCCTTGCGACTAGGATATCATGAGACAGGAACTAAAATTCAGTGATCATCCTCGTCGGGCCAGCGATGGAGTTGGGGGCAGGTTTTTTTTGGATAAACCCAGGCCCTCAAGGTTGCAACTATGCCTTGAAAACACTAAAAAAAAACCTGGGAATCTCTTGTGCACAACAATGGATGCAAGCGCATGCAAGCGCCATCCTCACAACTCAATGTTCTCAAACTCTAAACCGAGGTTCTAGGGGTGAAGCAACCGCGCTTTGGGCGTTCAAATTGTTTTGAGATGGTTTTCACTGCTGCCATGCCACCCAATGTGGAAGGTGATCTCTTGCTTCACTGCCCCATCTCACAATGGAGCCATGTGTGGCCACAAAATGCCACTGGATTGAACCAAAAGGAGTCTGCAGCAGGTTGATCCCTATCATAATTCTGTCCAAAACATGCAGTTTTGGCATGGTTTACCTCACCTGACACATAGAAGTGGAAAACGACTGCCTGCGAAATGATTTTCCTTCTGATTTTCGGGTGGTCTCTCTCTCTCTCTCTCTCTCTCTCGCGCCATATTTTCCAAATTTAGAATAGCCACAAATAGCAAATGTAGCAACCGAATTGTTCCCAGCCGCCCCAGCCTTCCCGCATTAAGATGTTCCAAATGCTCGGGCAGGAATCGTGGCCGCATCCATTGCATGGCAATCTCAGACATGGTTTTTGCGCGCAGGGGTCAAGCCCCTGGGTGATGAAAACCAATGGGATGTGTCATAGATACATAACTTTTCCACATCAACAAGAAGATCAAGAAGGATAGAACCACCATCACTTTTGGTGGTAGAGACACCAGACTTGGGTTATGAGCTGATGGTACACGTTACATAACCAACAAAAATGACCATATAATCACCAAAACGGTACATATGGCAGGTTCATCACTTGCTTGTTTCTCGTGCTTCTCGATCACGACGTCGGAGCGTGAGGAACAGACCCCTGTCGCAACCAGTGAGGACGAACATGCCGTGTCGGCTGTGTTGGACGGGCCTCGGACACGTTGGATGCTCCAAACTTCCGGAGATGCTTGAGATATATCTGAAATATCTCCTAAAAATCCAAACCCTCTATGTATTGAAGAAAACGCAAGGAAAAAAAAAACTTCACGGCACAAAACCTGGCACCAGCGGTTTTCTTTTCTTGATGGTTTCGAGCGACTTTGGGACACTTATATAGACAGAAGCGTAACTTCAGCAGGACTGAGAATTTGGCCAACCAGGTCCAAAGCATGAGATAGGCGGCATGGCACGACCTGCGTGACCAGTGTTCCCGACACCTTGCACAGCCACTTAGGGGGTATGGCTGCCACAATGAGGTAAAACCCCCAAAGTACAGTCGTGTTGCTTATATTTGTCCACGATCTACATGATCTGTCAATCTATTGATCTATCATGATTTATCTAATCTAACTTGTATCATCTATCTATCCATCATTTTCTATCTAAGCCACCTACCCATCTGGAAAACGACACATCCCCAAACTCCTGGGGCACCCGTGCCGAGGTATGAGCTCCAGACAGGGCTGAGGTGTGGATACCTCAGGATCCAGATAGGATCGGAGTGGCGGAAATATGCACCGCCCTCAGTTCAGCTGAAACATCTGAAACCACCAATTCTTCAATTCAACGATGAAGACCACTGGACCGAAATTGATGGAAACCACCATTGTTCGTTTTTGTTACGATGGGACCACTGGACCGGATTGGACCGGTCCCATTTCCAGTGGCGAATCCAGTCGAAATGCGGCAAAAAATGATCTTGAGCGGTAGCCAGACATGCTTTTTTTCCCCCACGCAAATGGACATGTCGAGGAAGAGCGTAGCTTATGCCACGTACTGCTCTACATACTTTAAGTGACGGTCCACCATTTGCACGAAATGGAGGGATGCTTCAACATTGCGGTACACAAAACCAACATTTGGTCTGTGCGCCTTTGATTCGAAGGTCTCTGGAGAAGCATTCTCAAGAAACTTGCACAACACAATGCGAGCATAGTCTACAAAAGCAAAGCGATACAAGTGCCAAGCCCACTGAAATGAGAATGACTTGCCTAATTCACCAGTTGCATCTTTCCTCTTCAAGGCATTCATCAACAAGTCATAGTAGACCCGAACAAGGCGTTCTTCACCACCATCGAGGAGGTGAGAGGTATGTACTGAGTGGGGCAAATGCATTGCCACATCTTTCAGACCAAAGCCGACGCCTGTCCACTGGAAATCGATCAGTAAGACTTTGTCAGAGGAGGCATTCTCTGGCAAGAACATGTTCATAGCCTTGGGATCCCCGTGGATCAAGGTGGCAAATTCATCACTGGGCATTGGTTTGAGCTCTGCTGCCACTCGCTCGGCCACGGACAAAATGCGTTCGGGTAGCCGTTGGAAGCGATCCTGACTCAAGAGGTCCGGAGCATACGACTCGAAGTTTTGCAAGTAAGACTTCCAAAACGGTTTCATCTTTTCGATCTCTTCCACTTCGCGCCACTGTAGTGACCAATAGGCTCCGGTGGAATGCAATTTCTTAGAGGCTTGAGTGAGCAACTCTTGATCTTCCCAGCCAGCTGCATGAAGATCAGCCAGAATACGCAAGGTGGCAGTTGCTTGCTCCAAGGTCAATGGAGAAGTTTGGGTATAGCTTTCACCCGGGCACTCCAGAAGTAGCACCAAGCCACCCTTCCTCAAAATCTCATCTTCCCCTGAATCTGTTGTTACATCTAGGCAAGACAAGCGTTCCTGGATGACAGGAGCTCGCAGCACAGGAACACCCCGAGCACGAAGTACTTCGGCGAATTCTCGGTAGAAACGAGCTTCGGCACGGCTGGAGTTCAAGTGCCGCCTCAGCTGAAAGGTACTTTTGGCTTGCGAATCCTGGCCGATGACCTTCTTCAGGTACAGAAAACCAGGGCTCCTGCCCTTAAAGTCCACCCTCAGTTTTGCCCCAATCGATTGAGGCCAGGTCAACCTTTCGCTCTTCGGAACCACTTCCACGGAAGCCACCTGAGTCGAAGGCAAGGGTTGCTGGCCATGGGGGGCTGCCCGTAAGGCCTCGGAAAGCCACTCCGCAGTAATCTGCTTGCCATCTAAGCCTTCCAGGATCATTCCACTTGAAGGGGCCGTGACCATCGGAAAAAAAATGCAAATTGAAACAACTATCCTTTTGACATATCGCCTGTTTCGGCGGTGCATCGATAGAGACATGTTTTGAGCCAAGATGGCTTGAGCCAAAGGCATTCATTCGAATGATGGGCCTTTCTGTTCTGGATGATGTTGGGTGTAACCTTCAGTTGGTGGGGGTTGCAGTCCAAAGGCATAATTTGTGTTCCGACTTCAGCATGGCCATTAAATCCCAATGATTTGGGGCCACCGTCCCATGGCAGCTGCGTAGAGCTGAGAATCTTGGGTGCCGCACCCTTCACGGTTCGATGTTCCTGGAGATGCAAGCTTTTGCGGCAAACCATGGAAAGCACCATCTCATTGACAGATTTCTTGCACTTTTCCCCTTCCTTTGGTTCTTTTTGAGGGTTGAAACCAGTTGAAACTCTGTTGAAAGTGTTGGTGATGACTTCGGGCTGAAGGAACGGGGGTAGGAGGGAAGGGGATAATTTTCGTGTAAAAATATTATATATTTTAAAAAGAAAATGATGTGTTCCGATCCGGAAATGTGGATGTCCAGCTTCCGTCACCGGTTTCAAACAAAGCGTCCGCATTCGGTTCCCATCTTCCCGCGACGGGCTCTTGCCTCGCCCCTCCTGACTTCATATTCTGTGAGGTTGAAGGGCCACCAATCCTCAGGGCAATGTGAGGAATGTGAGGGGTAAAGGACATTAAGAAATGGCATCTTAGATTGTTTCAGTGATAGATGTGCTAGTGATCTCAGAGTTTCTGAATCTTTGCCATAGTTATAATATGTTATAATATGAACTACCCTCTGGTAATTTAACATAACTATGGAAAATCACCATTTTTGATGGGTAAATCCACTATAAATGACCATTTTCAATAGCCATGTTAAATTACCAGAGGGTAAACAGGTCTCTGAGGGTCATGCCGACCCGGTATCACCCAGGAAGACCCCCACGCTTCGGCCCCGAAGACTCTCCTGCCGATGAAAAACACCCCGGGTTTTTGATGGCACCCTGCTGTTAAGTAGTCCTAAATAATACATGGATCTTAAAATAGTTAGGCGATGTTAGGTGTTAGATCCTAAATAATCCTATAATATCCTATAATATCCTATGTAAACAATCCTGCTGTTACTTGAACTGGATCTTCGTTCAAGGATGGTCCTGTAGTATCCTACAGTCATGTATTGATTCATCCCTCATTCCTGACCTTGGTGTGCCCTGCCCTGAACAGGACCGTGTAGCCATCTTCCATGACCACACGCTGGCTGGGTGACATGAACCTCTCAAGGGTGAAGCAGCTGGGACATGGCAAGGCATAAGACTTAGATTTGGATCATCTGAAATCTCCAAGCTCCTGGCATTGCTTCTTCATTGGGAATGTCAAAGAAAGAGTTGTCAAAGCCGTAGATGTCCTCATTTGCCTCCAGATCCCCACAAAATGGAATCGTTGGGGTCAGGATCCCTTTCAAGTGCGGTTTCAAACTCTGTCACTTTCGGTCCAGAAAGCCCGCTTGATCGCGCTTGGCTGCCAAGGAGTATTGCCAATGCACCCAGAGCTTCTCCGTGTCACAGTGATTCTGAGATACAGGCAACGAAGCCGCCATGCATGGCATAGCATTTGCCCGGCAGAAATTCTTGATCCTGGCAGGTGACGGACAAAGTAAGACAGCGCGGGGTTCTACTGTCAGCCACTTTCTGGGAACTGTGACAAAGCAACCACCTGTGGCACAACTTCCCCAGTGCCTTGGAGCAATATGTATCCGTATCCCACCTGACACACGGCACATGGTCATGTGCAAGTCACTGCCCCACCATCGCAGTGGCGGCCTGGCACTTGGGATGGCCAGCATGCCATCGGTTCCATCCAACAGCATGGACCAGTACCTGGGAGGAAACCATCTCTGTTGGGATCATGAGCCCATAGCCGCCATAGCCGCCATAGCCCACTGATCCCGGGGGCAATCCGGGGCACTGGTCTGGACTGCAACCATTACCAGGAAGGCGGCACATGGCCTCGGTCGATGACCAAACGCTCATGTTGTTCTTCAGCTGCGTTCAAAACTCGGCTCCCAACGCTCATCACATGAACCCTGTCGCCCTGGCCGCACTGCACCATGTTTGCACCTAAATTCTGGATTAAATCAACCATCCTACAAAATCCTAAAATGCCCTCCTTTTGCCCGCCTCAGGGTGCGGTCTTCCACTCAAGATTCCCATCGCCTCTGCCTGGCAGCGAAACTTCTGAGCCCACCTTAAATCGAAAGCAATGGTGAGCAGCTGGCCTTCATGATGGGATGGCCCTCCAGTCTCCCTATCTGGAACCTCAGCTGAGCACGGTCACCAATGACTGCCATGCAGCTGGATGCAGCTGGATGCAGCTGGAAGCTAGGCAGACCCACTTGGCCGGAGGCTCCAGGACCCAGCTCTGAAGCACAGCAAACCTGGAGGTCATTTACCCGCAGTGCTTAGGTCTTACCCATGAAAAGCTCTTCCTCCAACCCCACCGTATGCCTCCAGAAAATGGATGCTTGCGGAGTATGAACATGTGATTCGTAGCTGATTACTGCCGGGTGTTGGAAGCCAGTCATGAGACTATTGAAAATGCTCCCGATATGCACAGAAGTGGATCCCCACATTGCTGGCCTGCCATCTGGCTTGAAGGAGAAGCTCATTCGATCCTTGGCACTCCATTCCGATGACTAACCATTTAGATACCATAGGTATCCTGCCACAAAAGAAGAATGGGAAAGGTGGGAAACTCCACCAAAGCATGGCTATGTCTCAGAGATCGCTAAAGATTTTGTCCTGGTTCAGTAGTCCCTTCTCTCCATCAATAGTGGGGCCCCGAGAAACCAAAGTGGGAAATTCAATTAGATTAAATTCCTTCACTTAGGGATATTCTTGGGACCTCTTGATTAACTGGCCAAACCAAAGGTCGGCCCAGTCCCATTCCGACTTGAAATGTCTACTGCTAAACCCTGCTGAGCCCTGCTAAGCCTTGTGCTCCTCGGAAGACTAAAAGTTTCCTCCTCATCGCTGACAGTGTGACCTGGCCGCTGAATTGGCTGTGGCATCACAATCATCACTGCTTCTGAAAAACTCAAACTGATCAATCCACCACCACCACCCCAAAACAATATATATATATATACATATATATATATATGTGTGTGTGTGTATATCTTTGTGTGTATGTATATATATGTATATATGATATTAAATATATATATATATATGGATGGCCTACTCGGCCCTCCTCCATTGGGCTAGTAAAAACATTGCAGGTGATAATTTTGGACAGGAATGGGTCAAATAACACCCAGCAACTTCTGGGTTTCCTCGCAGCTCGCTCGGGTCTACCATGGCCAGGGGTCAGAGCAATTTCTCCACTGGACTCCAACCTGCATGGCATGGTGGGCCATTTCGTCTGGGAGAAAATCACCATGTTCCGCAATTTGTCTACAAAGGAGAATGCAGCTGCTAGCAGGCGCCAAGTCGAAGTGATTTGAGGGGCAGACCACATCATGCAGCAAATCTTCCGTCGCCGGAGGAACTGTAGGTGCTCCTCAAGACCACAGCTGAAAGCATGTCCCACACAAAACAGCAGGAGCCGGCAACCTTTGTGGAAGCCAGACCCAAGATGTTGTTTACAGCTGTTCAATGCTGTTCAGCTCCTCCAAGTGTCCCTCTTCGATGTCATCATCCTGAAGCTGCAGCAAAATTGTCACAGTGGTTGCTCTGGTTTCAATGACGATGGAGATGTCTGGATTGATTCAGAAAGCATGTTGCCAGGCTTCGCACGTTCAGGGGATCGCTTTCCAGAGAGAACTCCTCACGACCTGCATGTGGATTCAACTTGACCCATTGACAATAGCTGGTAAATAATCCCCAAATTCTTCTTGTTGTGGGTTGATAAGCCCCCAATAATTAAGCCCTTATTTTGTTTCCCCCATCATTTGTACCACCAGGACATTTCAACCCATCATCGCCACAGTACTGTATCTGACGTAACATCCCATGAAACTTGGGAGCACACGTGTGGCATAGGGCACCCACCTCAGATTTTGCAGCACCTGGAGCTGTACCTAAAATGGAAACACCACAGCTGAGGTCGCCACACCATCCCTGGCCACCTTTCGCCAATGCAGCCTTTGCAGCTCCCCAAAAAAAGATCCACGGCACGGTCGGCACGGTCGGCACGTCCCGGAACCCGGCGGCGGCCCCGTCGATGCCCTGCGGCCCCGGACGGAAGCCCATGTTGTGCCAGGAGTTTGCGGCGATGGCCTGGAATGACTCCGGATGATCTGCAGGTTGTTTTGAATTTTCACCACCCATGGCGGAAAAACTCATAACATCCTATAATTCATGGTCGATGTCACCACTTGTGTGGTCGCTTCCTCCTTTTGGCTGGTGAACTCATGTTAACTTCCTTACTTTTGTGGGTTCAAGTAAATCCCTATTATATCTATTCCTTAAATCCACAAAACTTGCAAACATGGCAACTCAGCACATCCTTGCACAATGATGCACAATCGTGCCAACGGCCGCATGTGTTGAGTATCAAGTGTTTCAACAAGTGGCATCAAGTGTTTCCGTTCAGTTTTTACATAAAGGGTTTCAACGGTTTCAACATGTTTCAACTCTCCTAAGCCTGTAACCTTCCAATCCACGCAGGGACCGCTTGTTTCCAGTTGAACCCCCGGCACCTGTGATAGGAGGGTGAACTCAGAGTCCAAGCGCTGCAAGTTCTTAGTGTCGCTGGTCAATTGATTTACTGAATTAAAATGTGTGTGAGATTGGGGGATCGATTTTAAAGGGGAGCCACCTCAACCATCCAGGCACTGATCAGGATGATTCAAGCAGGCTTGTATTTTCTGCTTGCTCGGAGACTTGTGGCCAGTGAAAAAATATGTTATTTCTTGGCGTTTGTTTCCTGCTGTGTGTACAGAAAACATCCATGTAGTTTACTGCCTTCTTTGTGACTCCTCGAAAGAAGGGATTCAGGAGGTGATAAGGTTCAATGCCAGTTTGCGAATGGAAAGCAATGAGGGTCTGCCTAGAGTCTGCGCTAATTTGCCCATGGGCAGCATGTTGCATGTGAATTGCCTATGGATGTTCTGCTATGGCTAGAGCATGCTAGAGCGATGGAGGACATAATGGACATATATAAATCATAAGTGTTAAAATGGTGAAATGTCCCCATGCAAATTCCATTGAAAAATATGGGCAGGTCATGGCAGGTCTGAAAATGTCACGAACCCAAAAACAACAGAAATGCCATGTGTCATCAATGTTAGTAGAGGAAAAGTAGTTATTGCAACTTACAACCTGCCGATTCAGGGGTTCCATCACCTCTCGATGGACTGCTGAGGCGCCGGTTCGTCTCTAGCACGTTGAGGAGATAAGAATTGAACTTTACCTGGACATCGCGGGAGGAGTGCCCATCATGACACCAATTAAGAGATTTGCAGAGGAATTTATGTACCTGATCAATCCATCCATCCGTCCGTCCATCCATCCGTTCATCCATCCGTCCATCATGTTTATTCCTTCGTTTTTATACAAACGCAAGTTTTTCAAATTGCAATGTCAAACCATGTCATTCCGACAGCACGTCGTGTCATGCAATCCAACGCAGCGCAGTGTAATGGGAAACGAATGCAGTTCATGCACGTATGTAAACATGGGAGCATGTTCACACGTAATCATTTACGTGTGATGTGTGATGTACGATGTGTGGTTAGGGATGTGTGAACATGTGGATGTGTGATGTGCGATTTGTGATGTCTGATGTCTGCCGTGTGTGTGTGTGTGTGTGCGTGATGTGTGATGTGTGATGTGTGATGTATGATGTGTGATGTGTGATGTGTGATGATGCGTGTGTGTGTGTGTGCGATGGGTGGTCTGTGATGTGTGATGTGTGATGTGTCACGATTGTTGTGTGATATGTGATGTATTTGTGTGATGTGTGCGTGTGTGATCTGAGGATGTGTGGGCACGTCGACGAGTGGATATGTGTATGTGTGGGTGTGTGGATGAATGGATGTGTGGATGTGTGGATGTGTGCATGTGTGATGCGTGTGTGTGTGTATGACGGTTGGTGGGTAATGGGTGGTGTGTGGATGTGTGATTTGTGATGTGTGGCGTGTGATGTCTGATGTGTGATGTGCGATGTATGCGTGTGATATTGTGTGATATTGTGTGATATTGTGTGATGTGTGAAATGCGATATGAGTGATGTGTGTGGTGTGTGAGATGTCTGTGATGTGTGTGTGTGTGTGATGCCTCAGATGTAATCTGTGTGGTGTGTGAAATGATGAGGGATGCCTTAAGGGGATACCCCCCTCAACATACCTCAGAAAAATAAAAGTATTATTCCGGCATACGTTGCGTTCACCAAAAAAATATTCCAAGAGCTCAATGAGATATATGGAAAATTGAATAATTTCCATCAAAATGATACCGGTATAGTCTATTTCTAGCCAAACGCAAGTAATCGTAAGCAGCTGCGCGCAAACGGCCGAAAACGGTTTCCCTTCTTGCAGAGCTGGGGCACAAATTCCAACCATTTTCAACATAATCAGATAGGATCAAGAATAGTCAGAATAGTATCTTTAAACAAATGTCCTCTCAGCAACCCACTGGCTGAACATGGTTTTAATTGGTTTTTGATGTTTTACCAGTTTCTGGGCTAGTTTGGTGGTTCTGGCCTTAGTGGGAATGAGTGGGAAAAGAAAAATATTTGGTTGTCACTGGTTTAATTTTTTTTTGCCAATTTCTGGATTTGTTTTGTGATTGTAGCAGCTGCCCCCTTTTGTTTTTGAGGGGTGCCAGGCATCTCCAATACCTCCAGAATAATTTCTCCACTGTCGAAAGCCCACAAAATGGCACCCAACCTGGCTCTCTTCTAGAAGTTTTCCAAACTTTGCGTACGCCCCCCTATTTCTTCCATATTGCCTTCATTTCCTTCCAAAAAACCCGTTGGCCATAATGGGAATGAGTGGGAAATGTTTGGGTTTCATTTGTTTTTTTGTTAATTCTTGCCAGTTTCTGGGCTAATTTGGTGATTAGCTGCCCACTTTGGTTTTTGAGGGGTACCAGGCATCTCCAATACCCTTAGAATAATTTCTCCCCTGGGGAAAGCCCACAAAATGGCACTCAACCTGGCTCTCTTCTAGAGGTTTTCCCAACTTCGCGTACGCCCCCCTATTTCTTCCATATTGCCTTCATTTCCTTCCAAAAAAAACGTTGGCCATAATGGGAATGAGTGGGAAATGTTTGGGTTTCATTTGGTTTTTTGTTAATTCTTGCCAGTTTCTGGGCTAATTTGGTGATTAGCTGCCCACTTTGGTTTTTGAGGGGTACCAGGCATCTCCAATACCCCCAAAATAATTTCCCCCTGGGGAAAGCCCACACAATGGCACTCAACCTGGCCTTTTCCTAGGTATTACTCATTGCCAGCCAAAGAACTCTCGAGAGAAAGTACCGTGAGAGAAAGGTGGTCCGTTGGACACTAGTTGTGCGTGCAAGTTAGAGAGTAAAGCTGTACCCTAGCACGGGGTCGCAGCCAAAGACCGGCAGCCGCAGCTGCCAGTAGAGATCACATAGTAGAAGACGCAGGAGCTTCCGAAGCTCCTACTCCCCCTTTCCCCACACGTCTTTTTCTGAACTCGGCGCCGTGAGCACGACGAATCAAAACCATCTGACCTATGAGGACTTGATTGGGGCCACTGACAGGTGACCACCCCATTCGACTCAACACGGCATCATGCTGAGGTTCTGGATGCAATCTAAAGCTCTGAAAGGCAGGGCAATGCCAATACACGTGCTGAGTGCTAGGGCAGACTGCACCGCCGCGACTGGGACAAACATCTCTCAAACCAGGACCCCCATCATGATGATGGGCATCCATAGTAAGTCCCCCGCACACAACAGCAATCTGACCTGCCGTCGCCGTTTGGGTGTAAGACCTCAAGTGATCAATGAGGGTCATTGAAGAAACCACACCTTGGTCTCGTGCCATGGTAGCATCCCGGCGGGACGACTGAAGCCATTTTTTAAATTGAGTATTGCGCCAAAATTGGCGAAAGCAATGTGCACATTTCATGGAAAATCCAAATGGCATAGAAAGCTGCCACGAACCTTGATTCGTCTTGATGCCTAAGTCACTCCAATCACACCCTACCTTACCAAGCGCTCGTTTCATCGCGAGGAAAGAAGAAGAGGAAGGGAGTTGGAAACCCTGTGGTCGAGACTGGAACCATTTGTGCAGGGCATTCATGTAACGCTGACATGCCAAAAAGACGAGATCAGACGTGTGTCCCATTTTAAAAATTGCCGTGAGGTGACGACAGTCATGACCACCCATGTTGTCAAACCCTTGCACAGCGCCGCGCCAAAGCTGTTGGAAAGCTTTGGATTCTGAGTCAGTCGGACACCGACCATTAAAAATAAACCCCAAACCATTTTGTTGGACAGAACTGAGCTTGCCACACCTACCTTGAGACGCTGGGATCCCGGTAAAGTAGCAATACGGCGAGCTTTCAATGCCACAGCCTCAGATCGCCGCTCCTCTTCCTCAGTAGGTTTTCTAGGAACACCTCCCATAGAAACTCCTAAAGTTTGCACCGTTGATTTGGCAGTAATCTGGTGGTCGTAAAAAACTGACGAAGCCACAGGAGTTCGGGCCCAAAACTGTAACTTATCAGAGTTGTTTTTCAGTCTGCACAGCTGGCTCAGCTTATCCCATTGAACAAGAGCATTCATGAGACCTTCAAAGGATCGTGATAAGATGGTTCTGTCATCAACATACAAAAAATGTGCAGAATCTTCAACCTTGGCCGACACATCTCGACAGGCAATCGAGAGAAACAGGCTCATGCAGACCGGGCTGAACGCATCTCCCTGCAAGAGGCCCAAAGAGTTCCGAACAGGTCTCGGGCAAACCGTTCCTTCTGCGGTTATCCATTTGGTATGATTAGCCCATTGAAACTCAAGAAGGGTGACAATTCTGGGACACAAGCCAATGTGCCTAAGCAAGCGGGTGCATAAATGCCAATCCGTGGAATCGAACGCTTTCGCCCAATCCAATGCAGCGCCGAACTGCCACGTTTCTGGACTATATTCATAATCGATGGATAAAAGCAAATCATTGACCCCAGGCCCCTGAAACCCCGCTTGGTTCTGCAGCAAGAATTGGCTCAGGAATTGACGGGTGTGATTCACTCTGATTGCGCTCCAAATTCGATACACGATCGGAGCGATCGATATGGGACGGCACTTCGTGATGTCATGGACATGCCCAGAAAGTTTCCCCTTAGGGAGAAAGACTACTT